TGATTATATTTTTATGTGTAGTTCCTATCATCCACTAGTATAACCAATCCCTAATATAAAGTTCTGTATCACTTAGTCACATGGTCTCCATTTATTTAGCATGTAATGGATCCACTTACATTGCTTCTGTTAAATGAGCTTAAATTGTGCTCATTTTCTTAATAGATACATTGCACACTACAAGCTAATAAGAAAATTACGGAAGTCTTTTCCCAATAATTTCTCTGAAATTTAGATAAACTGAACAGAGTATCTGTGTTTAGGTTTGCATAATAAATAGCTAGCATTAGTGGGTGACCAGACAGGATATTTAAAAGAGATTCATGTTTTATGTCTTTTCTCAATGAATTCATGTTGGAACCTAATGAACAGCACTTACATTTAATAATGTTTTATGACTGTTTAGGGAAAAGTATGTTCTAGAATTGATCGGAGTCAAATTCAGTGCTTATAATTTTATCCTTTTGAAAACTGTGATATTCTATCTAACACCAGTTTCTTGGAATCTTTTTCCTCATCTGCATAATCTCTTCAAAATGACCAATTCTGCCATCACTGTAAAAGTTTAAGTTATTTCTCTGTGAAATCACTTGAAGATGAGACATTTAGCACCTCCCAGAGAGAGATACCAGGTTTTCGGTCTGAGATACAAGAAAGATGGAGTTTAATTTAATTGAGAGAGGAGAATTACTGAAGAAACATTTTTAGGGGAATATCAGTTATTGAACATGTTACCTTTGAATGCCTAGTGACTATGTAAGTGGAGATGTTAGGTAATTGGATACAGATATCTGGAACTCATGGCAAATACTTAGACTGGGAGTAATCAGTATCTAGACAGCAATTAAAGATCTGAAACTACATGGAATGAGGTAGGGAGTGGCTATATGGAGAGAAAATTTACAAGATTGAGCTTTGGGGAATTCTATTGTTATTAGGTCCATGTTAGAGGATAGGGAAATATTGAGGAAGATCTAGCAAAAGACTGAGAAGCAGGTAGAAAAACAGTTTAGTGTAGTATCCTGGAAGCTGAGAGAAAAAGAGTGTTTCTAACAGTTCTCTTCCTTAATCTTCTGGGTTCTCAGATCTTGAACTAAATCAGTGTAATGGTTCTATGACAATTCAAAGATTCTGTTTTACAAGAATTTGTTTCTCCCAAGAAAACTCTAAACTAGATCTGAGACTATCTCCCTATGATCTTCCTCTGCTTCTGATATGGCCAGAAAATCAGTGAAATTAGGAGTCAGAAGACCTCAGTTCTCATGACAGCTCCATCTATTGCCACTGGTGTGACCCAGGACAAATTGCTTAACTTCCCTGCCAAATGGGCTTAGCCATAACTCCCTGCCCCAGCTGCAGGCTAATGAAAGATACAAGTAGCTGAGGGATGGAGCAAGTACTCTGCAGGCTGCTGAAGCCCTATACGGAGGTAGGCGTCCATCACTGTGATGGAGTTTCAGAAGAATCAAACTTGTCTGCTGTGCAGGCTCAGGGGAGTCAAGCCTCTTTGCAGAGGCTGAGGGAATCACAATACACCATTCTGGCTGATGTATCTTTTCAAATGCTACTTCTCAATAGGATATCTATTCTTTTTAGAAATACTCTTTTAAAATACACTTTAAATTTTTTTTTAAATACTAACTTCTAGGATTTTAAAATACCAGCACCTAGAATTTTATAATTAATGTGGCTCCTTCTAGTTCAAGAAGGTCTTCACTATGGTAGGCTATAAAATGTGATGCATTTATAGACTGTTTTCCAAAATTAACACCATATGAGTCTTTATATCTGCACACATTATAGCCTTGTCACTGCCTATAAACCCTTTAATTTTTTGTGGGAAAACAATTGCAAAATAAAAAAAAAAAGAATGAGACTGACTTCCCAGTGTAGATTTTGAATGCATGATGTTCAATGCATTTTTATTTATTTCATTTTTTTCAGTTTCCAAGAAAAATAAATAAAAATTAACAATATCTTGTAAATTATCTATATTCTCCTTCAATATCTTAAGGTACACAATTATCAAAGCTGATATTGAACACAAACAAATTGATACAATTCAGTACTCTGATAAAATTTATAATCAAATAAGTTACTTTAAACTGCATGCAATACAACTTAATGTTCCATAACATCTTTAATAAAAACTGTATACCAAAATGGCTCTTTAAACTTAAAAAGTGCAATTATAGAGTGCAGAATAAAAGGAAAATACATTATATTGCATTTAACATCATCACATTTGAATAACAGATGTTTAAATAAAATCATTCTTTTTTAAAACATTAAAATATACTCCAGAAATACTGTTTGTACAAGTTGTTACTCCCCTTTCTCCCATATAAACATGAATTTTTTAAAATAATATATTGGGTGGCAAATTAAAAACGTTTTGTTCAAAAGTTTACAGAATGGATATTGGAACAAAAATTACAAAGTGGGTTAGATACAGGTTTTTAAAAACTGCATTTTTGAATTTAACAGAAGTCAGACACTAGAATCATGTATTTGCTGCTAAAAGTTGATTTGATACCTGGTGGTGATTGAATTTAGTCTCAAAAACTCATAAATAAAAATTTGACTTAAGACATAGTAATATCAGGCCGGGCGCGGTGGCTCAAGCCTGTAATCCCAGCACTTTGGGAGGCCGAGGCGGGTGGATCACGAGGTCAAGAGATCGAGACCATCCTGGCCAACATGGTGAAACCCCGTCTCTACTAAAAATACAAAAAATTAGCTGGGCGTGGTGGTGCGTGCCTGTAATCCCAGCTACTCAGGAGGCTGAGGCAGGAGAATTGCCTGAACCCATGAGGCGGAGGTTGCGGTGAGCCGAGGTCGCGCCATTGCACTCCAGCCTGGGTAACATGAGTGAAACTCCGTCTCAAAAAAAAAAAATAAAAAATAAAAGACATAGTAATATCAGTGTACAAGTTCTCCCATCGCTTTGACTTTTGGCAGAGAGATTAGAGCAAAAGAATGTTTAGGAGAACAGTGAAGTTACATTGTATTATATATGTTTAGCACAATATGGAAATCTCAATTTTAAGGTTAAACCTTGAGTACTAGTTATAGAACTTAATATTCTTGGTTAAAGAAAAGGTTAACTGGGTTATTACATGGCCTTGGTGGAGACCATAAATTATGCATTTGTGGTTGCTTTGTTTTTCAATACACCGAATATACATCATCCTTTCTAGAAATATATATAGTGAGAAATCTGTAAAATTGGGAAGACAGACTAAATGCAAACTAAAATCTTTCCATTGTGTACATAACACATGTGCTCATGGAAATCAGTTTTTATGTTTAGTCAGCACCATCCTAACTAAAACAATTATTTTTGTTTTATTTTCAGCCATCAAAAGTAATGTGGGTCATAATTTATTATTTAATGTGCATTTATAAAAATCTAACTATTTTAGGGGAATATCGGTTATTGAATGTGTTACCTTTGAATGCCTAGTGAAGCATTCCTAAAGATAAAAAATACTAAAATGACTTGTTTTTAGGAATTGAGATACTTAAGATAAACTGACAAATCAATTATTGAGATGCTTATAATAAATCTTTGTAAATGAAATAAATGGATTGCAGCTGATTTCTTGAATAGTCAATAGATTTTCTTTGAAACAGCGAAGTTCACTGAAAATACGCAGACTCTATTCACACCTAGTAAGTGTTGGTATCCACGAGGGACTGATTCCAGGATCGCCCCCCTGCACATATTAAAATCAGGCACAGATGTTCAAGTCACATATATAAAAGGACATAATGTTTGCATATAACCTACTCATATCCTCCCATATACTTAAATAATCTCTACATTACTTATAATACCTAATGTAAATGCTATGTAAATAGTTGTTATTTACAAATTTACAATATTTATATTATCGTTGGTTTTTATTTGTATTTTTTTTTAATATTTTCCATCCTTGGTTGGTTGAATCCACAGATGTGGAACTAGCCAACCTCTATAGATACAGAGAGCCAACTGGAAGTATAGTACTTACAATGTGTTCTTATATACTTTGACTTCAGCTATATTAAATAGGAAGCAGGAATAACTTTTTAAATCTAACTGATTTTTCTTTTCTCTTGTTTCTAAGTTTTCTATAAATGGTTAATAGAGCAACAGATGATGGTAATTCTATGATCCATTGAGGTTATGTATACATACATGTTTGTGTATGAATATATATACAATATGTGTATGAATATATAAACAATATGTATATGAACACACACACATAAATGTGTGCAGGACACACATAAATGTGTGTGTGTGTGTGTGTGTGTTTGTCTGTTTTCCTAATAGTAAGGGCCAGGGCGAGGACTTTAGATGATATTCGTGTGATTACACCAGGGTATATAATACATGGATATTCATGGGGGCAAGTCCTGGCAGCTGATGCTCCAGAGGTTAGGCAGGGGTTAATATGTCTTTGTCGCCCTAGCACATGCCAGGAAAAAAGTGGAGGAAGAACAGATCCTCCTTGACCTGGTATGTGATCCAGGGAGACTACCCAAAGGTTTAGCATTCAATAAAGCAGCCTCCCATAAAATCCAAAGGTGGTGGCAGCAGTGGCTCCTTATGCAATAGCCCAAAATACTCCTATTAACTCACTGAGACCTATGGACTCAGAGTGCAGAAGAAACCTTTGTCTCTTCCAAAAAATAAGCAAATGTCAAAAAAATGAGCCCTAATTTTCATCTCAGACTCCATAGGAAGGTGTGTTTAAGTTTTTACGTTTTCAAATCTTTCAAATGAGATTTTCATTTGGATAAATACACTATATTAATTTTTAAGTTTTTTTCCCCACTTCCTGTATCAAGATACAGCTTTAAATACGTAACTTTAAATTCTAGAAGAAGTCACTTACTGAGCTGTTTTAAAGTTAAAACTTTCTTGAATAAAAGATGAAATAACGGTTTTTCCATCTTAACATATAGAATTATTGTCTTAATATATTTTAAAATAATAATTAGTCCATCAAATTTTGGACTGTGATTAATGTTAGAATTCAGTAAATCCTCTATAAAAAGAAATATTCTAAATTGAAGCACAAATGTAGGCTTCAAGTGTGGACTGTTTTCTAATTGTCTGATGAACAACAATTATCTCACATAAATGTTGTAATATACAAAAAAAGGAACATTGTGAAGCTGTGAAATGCCCACTACTTAAATAAAATATTATATAAAATTATTTTTCAATATATTTTACATAGACAGAATCTGGCAGATGAGTGACTAGCACCAGTAGGAGTACTGGGTTGGCATAGGGAACGGTCCACTGCTCCTCCTGTGACATGGAGTTTAGTCGAGACAAGAGTGAAGAGACCATAGGGTCCCCAGGGTTAGCTTGTTTCAAACATCTAGTGTTTAACACAGAACATATATTTGCTTCTCCCAAATTCCAATTGCATTATTGTTTTGATATGCGACGTCATGGTGTCAACTAACATATCAAACCATGGTACAGTCAAATCAATTACCATTGATTTGAGGAGTAGAAAAAAATATACTTACTAAATTGATTTGACTATATATTTAGGCTTACAGAAATCTGTCATTTGCTGACAATCCTTGAGCTATGACCTGGGCATTGCTTACTTCTAAGCACTGTGCAACAGGCATATAACTTTGAAGCTTTCAATGAAGCATTTAGCTCAGGAAATCACCTGTTATAAAAATATCAGTTTTCTTTTGATATTAAATATTTTCTGCACATTATACATTAACAAATAGTCTGTCAAAAATAAAACAAAAATAAAATTACTTTTCAAGTATATTAAAATACAATGCTATTGACATAACACTTGACCCAACATAAATATTATTAATAAAATAGGAATATTAATATTAACTGGGCACAGTGTTCATCTCTGCCCATAAGTTTGACGGCACAATTCAGACTTGCGGCAACTCTGGATCCCCTAAGGTAACCCTCTCATATTCCTTCTTCGGTTCTTTACTTTTTCGATTTCTGTACCTGGAAATATTCACAAATGAAGCTGTTAGCATTGTAGTTAACATTAATAGGAACAAGTATGTTACATATGGACTTCAAAGGCATATTAACATAGTGTCTCCCAAATGACAAAGGTGCACAGATATAGGTTGGACGAGGTTAAAAAAAAAAGGTGGGGGGGGGATGAAGAGTTACTGTGCTGTAGTCAAACAATTTTGGAATGAAATGATAAAATACACTTAAAAGGCTTCTCAAAGTCTTTAACATGATCATGAATATTGTGAAATTCCAAGAGGCATGTGACTACATTTAAGTCTGAGTTTGGGGTTTTCTTTTTTCTGTCTCTCTTTTTCTTTTTTCTTTCTTCTAAGGAATGCATATTTTGAATATCATGCTACATTAATACACCCTGACCATCACATTGATATGATGCTATCACTAATCAAAATAAAAATAACATTTGTCAGGCACAATTTGGTGACCTGCAATGTTCTAAGTGCTATACATGCATTATTTATTTTACCCTCACATTTGCTGTTACTATCCTCATCTTACAGATGAAGAAAGTGAAATACAAATTGGTTATACAGAACGTGCCCACGGTCACATAGCTAGTATTCATAGATTTATCATAATTAAGAATCTTCTTTCATTTATTCATTAGTCTATTTTTCTAATATTTTTAGTTTATTTTGTCCGCATTTTGGAAATGAGGCTCGTAGCTTTGAGGAAACCACATCATGTCTATGCTTACTGGAAGAATATGAATTAGAAAGCATTCGTTCTTAACTCTGACATTTGTCAACTATGTGAGCTGGGACATGTGAATGTACCTCTCTAAGCCTCTGTGTCCCATTTATGAAGGAAAGAATTATGGTCAAAGATTTTCAGGTGTATTTTAGTTTTAATAACATTCAGTTCTGTCATGGCAACTTATTAGGAAGGCATTATTATTTGGTGGTTATTTAGAATCAAACATAGGCAAAATAAATTTAATCTTATGAAAGTAGCACACGTTCAGACCTTTGAAATTAGAAATGCACTACTTTCACAGAAAAGTAAAAACTGAAATCCTCATTGAGTAATTTGTACCTTTCTCAAAATAAGGGTTTCATGGAGACATTTTAAAGGGAACTGTTATTAATTAATTGACACTGTTCCCATCCTTTGCCCCTAACCCTAAAAAAAAAAAAAAAAAAAACTATCAAATTATAGTTTCAATGTTTACTTTCTATTTTTCTGTTTTCAGCTCATGACAATAATGTACATGAGGATGAGGTATGACTGTTTTGGGTAACTGAAACAAAGTATTTTTTGACAACCATTTTTTATAATTGTCTTGAAACATTTCCACCAACCTTAAACTATAAGATTTCCAAGCTTCTAAGGTTATTTATTAATTCACAAGGCTTTTTTATGAAATAAAAAATTTGACTTAATGAATTAAATTCATGTGACTATAACATTAGCACCTTTCCTATGATTCACTTTCACATGAATTATCATGTTACATACTAAAAGCAGCCACCCTGTAACTAATGTAGGATAAAAATTTCTGTCCATATTTTATAAAGAAAGAAACTGTTACTCCCAATTTGACTTATGTAAGTAAGGTCACATAGTTAATAAGTACCAGAACTGATAATAAAGTTCAGTCCAGATGTTCTGCAGCAAAAAAATCTTTTAAAAAAACAATTTCAAGTTATTTCAGATTCAGGGGTACATGTGCAAATTTCTTAACTGGGCATATTGTGTGATACTGAGATTTGGGGTACAATTGATCTCACCACCCAGGTATTGGGCATAATACTTAATAGTGTCTCAACTCTTGTAAATATAATTTGTACAGGTTTGATCTTATCTCTCTAATACTTTATCCATATTTTTACCCTATTTATAGGTCTACATTATGTAAAAGTAATTTATAAAAGCAGAGTATAAAAAGCACAGTGACTTACCATCTGCAGAAATAATATGTGGAACCGACAACGATGATAAGAAACAAAATAATAAGAATCACGGTCAAAGCCACATATTCTCTGCTTAAAGGTTGGTGGACGGTTAAAAAGAAGTGTTCACATCGGACACCAGTATAACCCACTTCGCACCTGAAGCAAAATACAGAACAAGGAAAGATCAGTTATTTAAAAAGGAAATCATGATTATGAATTAGTTCTATAAAGACTAACATCATTCTATATTGCAAGAAATCATCAACATTTGTTAAAGGTTGTAAAGAGGACTTCAAAGATTAACCTTAGAGTTGGGCCAATAATGATAAAACGGCTCCACATAACTCTTGGGCTAAATTGTGGCATTAAAATGACAGTTGTGTTCAGTTGTCATGGTGGCTGACGGTCCACAGTGGTGTTTTGTAAGTTGTCTAAATCAGTGGAATTAATTCTTTTTTTGTTTGTTTCTCTGTTTGTTTTTTTGAGACGGAGTCTTGCTTTGCCACCCAGGCTGGAGTGCAGTTGCGCGATCTCGGCTCACTGCAACCTCTGCCTCCCGGCTTCAAGTGATCATCCTGCCTCAGCCTCCTGAGTAGCTGGGATTACAGGTGCCTGCCACCACACCTGGCTAATTTTTGTATTTTTAGTAGAGATGGGGGTTTCATCATGGTGGTCAGGCTGTTTGTGAACTCCCGACCTCAAGTGATCCATACGCCTCGGCCTCCCAAAGTGCTGGGGTTACAGGGATAAGCCACCATGCCTGATCTGAAATCAATTCTTAAAACAATACCTGAAATAGAAGTTGAAGGAAGAGATCCAAAACAGAGAGACACCATCTTGGCAAGTGTTAGATGCATCAAAAGCCCTCCCTGCTCTACGCCTCTGACATATCTGTACAATTTGAAAGCTACTATTTACTCCATAATCTTTTAAAAAGTCAGTAAAGTTTCTAATAATATATATATTGCATTTAACAGCCCATGGAAATATAGGGTAATTTTAAAATATAGAAATACTATAAAATAGAGAGTAAAACTACATTTATCACATGTTCTCACTTACAAATGGGAGCCATAATGTGTACACATGATCATAGAGAATGGAGGACTAGACCCTGGAGACTTCAAAAGGTAGATTTGGTGGGAGGAGTTTAAGGGATGAAAAATTACCAAACGGGTACCATATACACTATTTGAGGAGTAGGTACTCTAAAAGCTCAAACTTCACCACTACTCAATATATCCACTAACAAATCTGCACTTGTGCGCCTAAATCTATTTTTTAAAAATTGCACACTGTGTTTGTTTATTTCTAGTATATTACCTGCAGTAGTTTTGACTCATGTCCACCAGGTAGATGCACTGTCCATGCAAACAGTAACCATTCATGTCATAGCTACACTTTGTTATTGACACTTGAGCCACACGTGGATCATCTTCTGTCTGAACTGTGAAAGAAGTAGAAAGTTGAATATATTCTGTAGCCTTTATGGAAGAATTACTCTTTCATAATAGTAACCACTGAGCTACTTCAACAAAACAGGTCAGATGCCAATCAGTTGAGGAGAATTTTGAGTAGAAGTCACTATAGTTATCACAGCCCCTAGACCAGTCAATAAACACTTGAATCCAAAGGAAAGTGTCCAACAGACTAAACAAAACAAGATGAAGTGGAAGGATTTCATCCTCAAAAGACAACCTTTAAAGGTAGAAAAGGCAAATTTAACACACACATTATCCTCCAAGTGGATATTTACTTCTTCAAACATAATGTGTCTAATTTTTCTCAAGTCCCAAAACAATTCTGAAATCTGTTACTCCCCAAAACAGTTGCAAGCTCAAGCTCATACCATTAATTAATTCAAAGAATCTTAATTCTACAGGGGATTTTTAATCAGTATAGCTGGCTTTGGAGTATGTTCTCGAGTTGTTGAGGTTACCATTAGTGAAATCAACCGATGTCTCCCAATATCTCTAATAATGATACCTGAATGCAAACTAGACAAACCCTAGTGAGAAAGGCCTCTGTTAGACAAATACAACAATGAAAATAGAGGCCCTGTGTAAAATTCACTTTAGAAAGTTTTAGATAACAAAATGTGAAAAATGCTTACAAAATTATTTTCGAAATAGCAATTTGATTGTAATACTCTTGCACAAATAACCAAAGAAGGGAAAAAAAAGGTGATGGGGGGAGACTGACCAAACCTCCAAAAACCCTGATGATCAGGGACAAAAGAAAAGGTAAAGTTGTTGTGAAAAATATCTTGTTTCCTCAAAATAACTTAGTTATCTTGATTCAATAGCTCAGACTGAAGATAAAGCTGATCCCCTTTGGACCATATCTGAAGTCCACAGTCCTCGAGGAGAAAAACTGTATTACTTATGTTTGTATCCCTATGCCTTGGCACAGTGTTTGGTGCATACTCGATAAATGTTTTCTGAATGAACACCGTGCCTAGAAAGAAAAGACCATCATTTGTTCTTCTAACAGGAGAGAAAGAGGGTAGAAAGAGACAGATAGGGAACCTACTCTGTACAAAGTTTTCCTGTTTTACCTGGAATCCAGTCAGTGTGGCCTCTGAGGATGGTTTTGCAGTAAAGCACAAGGAAATGGCCAAAGGGAATCCAGTATTTTTTTGGTCCCTATCTCTTTACAATCAAACCTGTGTATATAATTTGTCCGGTCCCTCTTCTGCCAGTTGTTTTTTTAAGTAACTTTTTCAGAACATGAGTTTATAAGATGGTTTAAAAAGTAATATAGCAGCTATTCCTACCCTTTTTTCATTGCCACATACTTATAGTATTTGAGTTTACATTTCTGTTTAAAAATGTGTAGTCTCTTGAGGCCATATTGACAATGTTGGGCTTACCTAAAGCTGTGCAGTTATCGCTGGACTCTCCTGGGATACATGATGGAATCACAGTTGTACTGAGGACTGCCTGTAGAAGATGGAAACCTATTTATGAAGAAAAATCAAATATATAATTAATTTGTTAAGGAAAGAAATCTTCATTAAATTTCTACATAACTGCAGTACTTATAGAGTTGTTCTGTTTTAAGGATTTGGTCCATCAAAACCATAAAATAAAATAATTCATGGAAACAGACATATAAAAGAAAATACAAACACTAGCAGCAGCTAACCTGTTGAAGTTTAAAAGCCTTGGCATTATATTCATGGCTACAGACTTGACCTGCTCTAAACATTTCACAATAACATTTTCAGAGATTTGATTTTGAAGTTTGGTTTCTTAAGACACATTATCGGTTGGAGAATTCCCACTATTTTAGTCCATCATGAATTCAGAGAAATGCTCCAAGGTAGATCCCATCACAAAAGAAGTCTCTAAATAAAAAATCACTTCCCATTTATGGTAACAGCAAGAAACTCAACCTAAGAAAGATTCATATTGATTTATGTACCTAAATTACTCCTTGCATTGAATTACACATGAATATAGATCTTAATTAATAAAATCCAAGGTAGGTAAAATCAAAATATATCTCGTCTAATATGAGGAGGAAAAGCTAGGCCAAATGAACTGTACTGAGCCCTAGAATCCAGTTTCTGTCAGCACAGGAAGAATTTAAATCGGCTGTTTCATCAAGTGTCTTCAGTGAAAAGATAAAATGTTGAAATATAGGCATCAGAATGACTCAGATAGTTTCTGAACTGTGTAGAAAGCATGATAAGAAGAACCCTTTTAACTGCACACATGTTTACTTAAGAGCATGTAGTTGCTTCTGTTTAAGCTTTAGGTATTTGCACTTCAACCAATCTTTCCAGTTTATTTGAGTAACTATCATATTGTAAATCCTAATGGTGGTGGTAGCAGTAGTATTAGCAGCAATTAAGCTCTAATTACGGAATTAATTAATGACTTCAGCTTGCAACTGCTTTGAGGAGTAATGAATTTCAGAAATGAGATTTGAAAAAAGTTAGACATATTTTGTTAGAAGAAATGAATAGTACCTACTGTGGTGATAATGACATATATGTTAAGCTTGCCTTTTCTACCCCCTAAAGGTTGTCTTTTGAGAATAAAATCCTCCCATGTTATTTTTGTTTTCTTTTGTCAGTTGGACATTTTCCTTTGGATTCATGTGTTTGTTTACTGGCCTATGGTGCGTGATTACTAGGATGATTACTAGTCATTTATTACTAGTCGTTTCCTACTCCTGAAAATTCTCCTTGACTGATTGGCAGCTAGGTAAATGTAATCTAGGTAAAATAGGAAAATATCCTACCTCATATGATAAGGAATAGGGATGCCAGATTAACCACACTGAGAATTCAGTTTCTGTAAGCACAAGAAGAGTTTAAATCGACCTGTTAAGTTGAGGTAGCTAAGTGATAACTGTTATGAAAGGATGATTAATCCCTCCATAAAGACAGGAGAAAATATTCAACTTTCCACATCTTTCACAGCTCAAACAGAAGATGATCCATCTCTTGAACATGCACTGTGTACCAGTGATACAGTTTGGCTCTGTGTCCCACCCAAATCTCATCTTGAATTTCAATCCCCACATGTTGAGGGAGGAACCTGTAATTCCCATGTGTCAAGGGAGGGAGGTGATTGAATCAATGGGGATGGTTTCTTCTATGCTCTTCTCATGATAATGAGTGACTTCTCGGGAGATCTGATGGTTTTATAAGTGTTTGGAAGTTCCTCCTCCTCCTGTCTCTCTCCTACTGCCTTGTCAAAAAGGTGCTTGCTTCCCCTTTGCCTTCTGCCATAATTGTAAGTTTCCTGAGACTTCCCCAGCCATACAAAACTGTGAGTCAATTATACTTCTTTCCTTTTATAAATTACCCAGTCTCAGGGAAGTTCTTTATAGCAATGTGAAAACAAACTAATACAACCAGGTATGGTTAAATTCACATCATCTCTATATATTATTTAGTCCTCTCAGTGCCAGTTTGAGGAAGATACTATTATTGTCACCATTAGAAAAAAAACTAATGTATAAAGAGTTTAAATAACCTTTCCCAAGGATACATATTGTTAAACGGGCCACTTTTTTGGAATTTGGACATGAGCAGTAATACTAGAGTATATTGTACATCACAGACAACAAATTATGGTAGACGTAATGGAAGTAGAGTATTTCACCCAACATAGAGGCCACAAAGTATGGTGGAAAGGCAGTCTTCTGAGGAAAACTTGAGCTAGGTAATCTTGAAAAAATTAATTTACTTTTCTGGGTCTTAATTTTTACTATATTACAGATTTTTTGGGAGAATACAGTGAAATAAACTAATATTTTTAAGTGGCTGACATATCCCATGAATGTTCCTTGACTCTCAAACTCCAGCCTCTGGTTTTAGCAGTATATATGTTGGCAGCGCCCTCTACTGGTTTATAACAAGTTTGTAAATCTCTGTTACATGGTACTGTAAAGCATGATTTAATTCATGCAATACAGGAATTTTATTTTTTCCCAGTTAGAGAAGGCTTGTATCTGTTAAGCTGATTGTATTTTTTTGGGTTCTGAAAACTAAATTACACATAGGCATCAGCATCATAATGTACAACTTCATATATCAAATTTCACACTTTATTCTGTGAAGTAATTATTAGTCTCAGATATGCTCAGTGAATTTAAATTAAAAGTTTGTCTAAGATCACTTATGACCACAGAAGAGAAGAGTTACGAATTTATCTTTTGACATCATGTCTCCTATTCTTCGATTATTTGAAAATACTGTTGTCTTTAAAGGTTTAGAATTATCTCCTCCCCATTCAATGTTTTTCCTACAATATAAATGCTACTTCAATTCTTGTTATAGAGCCAGAACAACAATGATAAAACAACAACAAAACATGTTTATTGAATGGCAAAGAAATAGCTAAAGCCTAGATTTCATTGTCAGTTGAACAGAGTCGAAAACTATTCCGCTAAATTTTTTATGGAGGATAAGCAGATTCTCATTCAAGTCAATTTTACTTTATATCACAATAATAATTTCACTACACTTTCACTACTGAGGAATTAAATCCTTTAACTATTACAGTTTCCTCAATACAAATTGGAGTTTTAGTTGCACGTGCTTACATCCTTGACATTCCTATTCCTACATATTTCTTCAACTGAGGAAAGCTTTTGAGGAGACATTATCCTTTCTATAGAAAAATGCTAGAGAGGGAAAAAATGCACATTTGCAAATAGTTTCTCTATTATTTGCATAAACTAAAGCCTAACCTTTCCTGGTTGGAATTGCTTCCAATTGCAACCTGCAATTATTATAGAATCCAACTAATTATTTTGGGGTGTTGCTTTTAGTCTTCTTTTTTAAAGGGTTTTAGTAGTTGTTAGTCTTTCCACTGTTGAAACTTTGTTCCAGTTGTTCAGGCCACAGGTGAAATATTTGTCTTTGTTAATTAAAGAATGTTCAGCCCAGGGTGTGCCTCCACAAAAACTGGGCTTTCCTTACCTGTGACGCTTCCTTGGACACAGTCCATCACTCAGGATAGTTTCTGTGAGACTTGCTGCATTAATCCTGCAGCAGGATATTTTACAGCTGGAATCGTATATAATTTTAAATGCTCCTTTCAAATTAAGGTGTATAACTGCAATTCCATTGTGGATCAATGTGGCCAATAAAACAGAAAAAATAATTCTAAGTCATATCCAACTGTACAGCACTATTGCTTTAAAACAATAGTTCTTAAATGTTTCTGCAATATGCCTTTGCTCCCAGACAGTTGCAAACTAGGGTAGAAGAGTGAATGGGATCAAATGAAGGAAAAATGTATCTCCAGAGAAATATTACATCCACTATCCTGTTACCCTTAAGAATCACTAGTCATTATTTTAAAGAGTCATGCAGGGAGGGAATAAATGCTAAAGCCATATGTATATATTTCCTTAATATCAAGTTTTTTTTCATGATCTTAGTGTTGTTTGAACATAATTTCTTCAGGATCGGACCTCAAATATTATAGTTGACTTTTTCATCCTTGACAATGGATTGTTGCTAAGCAAATAATTCACTCCGATACTAAAGATTTTAGATAGTGTCTATGTCAAAAAAAAAAAAAAAAAAAAAACAGACCTGGTGGCATTTCTGGTCTGGTGACATTGGTAATTAAGATACAAAGGAATTTCTCGCCAGGTGATATAACACAGATGATCTGTAAACTCAAAATTGGCAGTTGGCACTTCTTTTACAATACAGCTACAAAAATGGGAATGAACTCAGAGGCCATTATTTCTATCAAAGCTCCAAATGGGTTTTAGGAATGTGAGCCTCATATATATGTATACCTTCATTTTTCAGGTTATGTTTCAGTGAAATCTCAAATATGCCAGCAGGAAGTGGTGCCAGTGACTCACAGGATACAAATCGCCTCTTCCCTGTGAGTCAGGGCCAAGCCTACACCCTTATACAACATTGGGGACCGCGTGTGGGAGAGGTTAAGCGCCATCACAGGAATGGGAATAGCAGTAAATGTCGTGGGCCCTGGAGCACTAAGAAGTGGTTGCCCAATAGTCAGACAAAATGCCAGATGTAGAAAATGTACTTCCTATTGCATATGGTTTCTTTTGGCCTTGCTTCCTTTTTATTTTTAATTATTTTGCTTTTTGAGGCTTTTGCTCCGTTGACCCAGACTGGAGTGCAGTGGTGCAATCACAACTCACTGCAACCTCGAACTCCTGAGCTCAAGCGAACCTCCCATGTTGGCCTCCCAAAATGCTAAGATTACAGGCTTGAGCCACTGTACCAGGATCAACCTTGCTTCCTAAGGATTGCACTGAGGGCTCATCCAGAAAGAGGCCAGTACAGAGGAGTCTAGGATTTGGTGACTGGCTGACCAAGCCAAGTCAGCAAAATCAATTGCAAATCTTAGGGTGAAATGACTTTTCTGGAAAACAACCAAGAAAATAAAAATAAGAACACATGGACACAGTAGGGGGGACCTCACACACTGGGGCCTGTCAGGGGGTGAC